GGGGTTCTTGAACTAATGTAATATTACACTTTTGAGAGGAGAAAAAAAATATTTTTGATATAATGATGAACACTGCCTTTGTTGATGATAACTAATTTCACGTTTTGTTTTCAGCATAATGATCAGTAATAATAGATACAGTGGAATCCTGCTAAAGTCAACTTGCTTAAAGTCAACTCTTGCTAAAAGTCAACACCTCACCGTGGTGCAGTTTTTTACCTTCTTTGTTTAAATAATTTTAAGCAGACGTAATTGCGTTTCTGATACAGTCAACCGCTTGTGTGTTAAGCTTGCGTAAAGTCAACAATTTGGGGCTAAATCCAAAGATGAATTCATTTAAGAAGAGATATTTCGTCGAAGCTAGTGGTATACACACACACACCTCAAACTACTTTGTTCTTTCATTATCTCTTGTTTTGGGGACAACTTCAGAATTATACTCCCTGAAATTGAGATTACATCTTGTACTTTGTAATTTTGTACCTGTCTATCTTCAATTTTCAATGGCCAGTAGTACAATAGATAAAGTCAAAGTTGCTCAAAGTCAACACTTATTTTCTGTCCGGGGTGTTAGCTTTATCAGAATTCCACTGTAACTTGTTTTATTTGTAATTAAGGCGCTTTTGTCATTGACATGAGTTTCAATTTTTTTTCCTTATTAGTAAGAAAGAGTGTGCAATATTTTGCTTGAAGGATTTACTAAAGTGAGGCAGCGTGGTGAAACCTGGCGCTCGTCAAAATAATGAAAGTGAAAAAAACTGGCATTTTTCCGCAGGTATGGGAACTTTAAAAAAATTTTTGTTTTCCCGCTAAACACCTTTTACGTCCGTATAATAACACATTTACATGCCAATTTTATTTGAGAAACGTTCATTGCATGCACAAAATATTTGATTTTTCAGTTTTTAAAGCTCTCAAGCTATTGAAGTTATCAAACTTTGGCGCCCGTTTTCTCACTAAATTTACCTCTGAAATCAGGTAGCCCACACCTCCTCCAATCGCAAATATTTCGACTTCTATTCAGCAGGGATGAATATCGTTTTCATCAAAAGGAAGACAAATGGAGAGGCTGTAAGATGATATCAATAACTCCATATATGCCTCAAAACTGACGAACACCTGATCCCACCATGTCGTGACACCTATTATTTTTTAGTGCATATAGTATTATGTGCATGTGTGTGTGTATGCATGCGTTTCTATGCGCATAGAACAAGGATTGTTTCACAGATTTGCTCGATATAAATGTCTTATTATTTTTATCATTATAAGCGAACAATATAATATTACGGGTGGG